TTGCTATTAATTATATAAGTCCAAGTCAATGTGTGCCCTTCACACTCTAGCATTCAAGGTTCTGTCCGTTTTGAATTTTGCGATTGAATGTTGCAGAAAAGGAAAGAAAGCAATACGGTACAACGTACCTGTAGGCTTTGGTGAAGAAGCAAGACCATGGGAAATTTCAGCTCCATTCACGCTGCCAAAGGGTATTGAGCATTTTCTTACTTAATTATATCAGTTTAAGTTAAGTTAGTAGGGTTGTTCTGTTGGATTTTATTTTAGAAAGATTGGTTCATCCTTGATCCTTCTTCACTCTTGGAAAACAACTTATAATTATTATGGGTTTTGTAAAACTCCGTAGAAGAAGATTCATGATAAGGCGAAGACCAACACAGCTGGGTTCCCTGGACAGCCATAGTGCAACGATGTCGCATGAAGGAATAAAGACAGTAAGAGTAGACAACCGTTGTGATTTCTCAAGCTATTCAGATCTCTGTATTTGCGTCGTCACCTGGAACATGAATGGCCAGGTACCTCAACTTAATGCTTGCTTAATTACAAACATATTAATGTTAGCTTCATGAATCATGGTGATTATTAAATATTAAACAGTTTTTCTTATTCTTGTTTGTCTGGAGATAATAGGTCACCTACGAAGATTTGGCAGAGCTGGTTGGGAACAATCGGAAGTTTGATCTTCTGGTTGTAGGTCTGCAGGAGGTGCCCCGCAAAAATATTTCACGACTTCTACAGGCAGCGCTGATTGACTCTCACATGTGAGACAGACATATAAAATCTTTTCTTTTTGTTTCAAGTTTTATTAATTTATTTAAAATGTTTGTATGTACTTAACCCTTACTAATAACTTTATATTAAGCCTGACCTTTCATTTATCCTTGTGCATGAAGCTTGTTGGGAAAATCCATCATGCAATCTATACACCTCTATGTGTTTGGGCTAAAGGACTCAGACTTGTTCACCAAAGGTAAAGGGTATATACATGAATTCTCTACTAGCTAGAAGGTCAAGGTTTCGATCACCAATATGTTTCGATTCGATTGAAAATTTTCTTTTCTTTTTTTTCCTGATATACTTACTGATATACAGACGTGAAGATTGATAAGAGTCCAGTAGGGGGCTTTGGAGGACTAATTAGGAGAAAGAAAGGCGCCGTGGCAATCCGCCTTAACTACAAAGGCATTACAATGGTGTTCATCTCTTGCCATCTCTCTGGTAATTAATAATCCCTTCCCTTCCCTGTATCTGAAAATTGGGCCATACATATGGGCCTACGACTACCAAGTCACCCACTACACTTGAGCCCATGAGATTTTGTGGTCTGTTTATCCTAATTTGCGTGCGTGTTTTTATGTGTAGCTCATGCTCAGAACGTGGAGAAGAGGAATTCTGAATTCAGAAACGTATCTGAATCTCTTTTCTCTCAGAAACTGAACCCTTATGCAAGACCTGCTCAAATTACTGTCTGGTTGGGAGATCTCAACTACAGGATACAAGGGATCGGCAACTATCCCGCAAGAGATCTCATACACAATGATCTTCACAGAGTAAGTTGTGTTCATAACAAAATTATTTAATTTCCTTCACTTGATGCTTAGCTCGTTTCATCATAGGGGTCCGTTTCCTCATTTTGTTTATGGTTCATTCAACATTTCTTCATCAAGATTTTTGTTTCATATTTACCTCAAACTATCGATATACATGTCATCCACCAAAATATAGCTTACTTATTTCTGATTAAATACAGCTACTCACTAACAATGACCAGCTCTTACAAGAGGCTGAGAGAGGACAGATCTTCGAAGGTTATAGCGAGGGCACATTAACCTTTAAGCCCACATATAAATATAACATTGGAAGTAGCAATTATGATACAAGTTACAAGGTATACACCAGTATTTCATCTCTCACTTTTCTCATTTGCAATTGTAATTAATTATCTGTTTAATCTTGACGCACCTACGTACAGGTGAGAATGCCATCGTGGACGGATCGAATTTTGTTCAAAACACAAGACACGGAGGAAATCCATGCAACGTTGCATTCGTATGAAGCCATGGACGACATTCACAGTTCTGATCACAAGCCTGTCAAAGCTCATATATGTTTAAAGCTCAGCAAACCATCATAACATTCATCTTTTTGTGTTGCTTCATTTGATTCATGTGTATATAAAGAAAAATCTTATTCGGGCCTCTTTTTCTTCTTTGTTTTAGTCGGAAGAAAGCAATTTTCAAGCCCAAGCATAACCAGGCCCCCAAAAAGAAGAAAGATTTTGTGGTATGTAGATTGACACGGGCCTCTGGTCTGGTGCATTGCTTTTAATGATACAATCTTAATTAGAACATGAAGTTGTTTGACTTTGAAGAGTTCCCCTCTGTTTAGCTATATTTTCACTCGTCTGTTTCACCCAATTTATTAAGGCCATCCTTGTTGACATTGACCCGTCATCATTTCAATTGCTTAAATAAAGCAAGATTTCAAAAATTAAATCACTTGACCATTCCATCCTCGCCATTTTTCTTCTCGAAGAAACCAAGTCCGGGAAAAAAAATAGTAAAGCACTAAATTTATACATAAATGGTTGACCATTTCTCCCTTATATATATATTTTTTTAAACAACCATTTTCCTTTCTCTCTAAGTTTCTTACCAATTTAATTAAATGGCAGGAGGCGGAAACATATTGATATTGTCACACCCTTTTATCAACAAAATAAAATAAAAAACAATTAACGACACATGCGAAATTGATATTTTTTGTGTGTGCTCACACTTAATTATATTAATTTACATAAACAAATTAAAATAACGAACACATAGTCGATGATGCGTTCACTGAATAATATTGTAGATTAGGTTAATAAAAAGAAAAATTAAAAAAACACATTCACTGAATTATTGATATTATATTTAAATAATGACGAGACATGCGGATAACATACATGGCTTGGGCTTCAATTAATTGCTCAAACGTACAAAAGAAATCACGAGCAATGAATATCCTTGTCATTGAGCTTTTAATACAGTACCCCGTTTGATTCACACAAACGTTAGATAAAAAAAATAAGAGTCCATATATTTTTAGCAAATAATCAATTTGTGACACCACGACACTGTTTACTAATTTTTATATTTTCCCTTTGCAAAAAAGTAATTGATTTTTTAGTTGGGAAGCTACTTGGTGTCTCAATGTCATGAGTTTAAAACCCATTGAAAGCATTTTATGGCAAGGGGCTAGCCGAACTCCGAGTTGAAATTAATCTCACAATTCGAGTGTGGGGACACCTCATAGTATTTACCCAAAAAAAAATGTAATTGATTTTATTTTTCATTTTTCCTGCTAGTACTGCCTTAATGGTTAGGTGAGGTATGGAATCTTTTATCCAAGCAAACAATTCACCTCCTTTTTTCGGATTCCTTCCACTTTTTCTGCTTTGACACATTTTCGTTCTAAAAAATATCTTCAGAAAATCCAGCTTTTCAGCTGTTTTATTACGTAGTTTAGTTTAAACTTTAAACCCACGTCCGCTCGCTTCCTTCACACGACGCCAGCCAGCCAGCCAGCCAAAAGCAAACAAGCCATTGCCCAACTTTTATTTTTACTGTTTCTTTTTTCCTTTCTTTGTTTTTGTTTTCCTCATTTTTTAAAAGACTGTTTTTTTTATCTTTACGATTCCTCAAAAACCTTTCTTTTGGGGCCTTCAGGTGGAAGAGTTAAAAGAGCCGTTGGAAAAAATAAGCAAATTATGAGCTTTGCCCAACTGGGCTTGATGAACATTCGTCAATCCCTTTTGGGTTAAGACAAAAGTCAAATAAAGTTGGAGTTTTTACACTTGGGTTTTTCAATATTTTGACTTTGAAATTGCGTACAGTTCATGTCCTCCTCCGTTCTTTGTTTATTTCTCCTCCTGTTTATATTTGGTTCGGAATTTCCTTTTAACACGTGAATAATCCTGTATCTAAGTGATATTGAATTTTCTTCTTCCTATTTTCCTTGAGATCTTTTCCTGCCTCTGCCATATTCTGCTCTGAATTTAAAGAGTAAAGGATCTCGAATTGATTATTTATTTGCCCAAGAAAGAAAGAGAGAAGGAAAAAGGGCGTGAATGGAGTTTATATGTGTAAATTTCTCTGATGACCTGTAAAAGAATGTTGCTTTTGATCGAGTTGGGATCTTATCTGATCTGGGTCTGCTCTGCTAGCTTTCACCATTCTTGGAGTCCCTTGAATTTTCAGAGGTGAGTCACTTCTCCACTATTTGATTCTCTGCCTTTTCCTTTTACCTGAGATTAAACGTTTATATGTGATCAAATTAGTGGGCATGTTGAACTGGAAGAATCTCTCCCTCTCCTCTCTCTTTTCCTCTCTCTCTGTGTCTCTCTCTTCTCTGTATATGTGGATGTTTAGTCATAATTGACTTTACAAACCTTAAATTTCGAATTTCGAAGTTGTAGCTGGAACATTCTAGGGGGTGCCATAATGCCTGGTGGGTGAATTGCCTCGCCAGTTTTAATTTGTTTTTATATGTTTATTGAAAATAAATGCAATGGCATTGATTACCCTGTTATTTGAATTGGGTTGTCCATGCAACATTTGTAAAACACAGGCGTGTTAACCCAGGCGTGCTGTTTTCATTTGTATTAATTCTCACACATAATTTTCTTTTCCAGATGTAAATGTTCAGCATGAATTTTCTTCTCTGTGTTTTTTTTTCCCCATACTACGTTTGAAGGTTATGGAATTTACTCAGACTAATCAGAAATATGTTGAACTTGTACTGCATCTGTTGTTTTCGTTGTTGATAATGCATTGACTTAGATGGTTGCTTCATGTGCAGTAAAAAACTTAATTGACTATGAGCAGATAACATTAAACGTTATGG